CTACAGCTTGATGACCGGCAGAATATTTAGTATCTCTGGCCACTTATCTAGCAGTGGCAGAGGATCTGCTTTCTGTCACAGACATGACAATCACTTCCTCCTATCTTTTTCTTTTTCTTAGAGACAGTGTCTCGCTCTGTCACTCAGGCTGGAGCACAGTGTGGTGCAATCATAGTTCCCTGTAGCCTCAAACCCCTAGACTCAAGCAATCCTCCTGCCTCAGCCTCTCAAGTAGTTGGGACCACAGGTGCACCCCACTATACCTGGCCAATTTTTTTTATGTTTTCCAGTTTGGAGAGAAGGGGGTCTGACTTGTTGCCCAGGCTGGTCTGAAGCTCCTTGCCTTAAGTAGTCCTCCCACCTCAGCCTCCCAAAGTGCTGGGATTACAGGTGTGAGCCACTTCGATCAGCCCTGTATCTAAGATTTTTAAAGCTAGTTATGGAAAATACTTTCATTGATCTTCTTACTGTCTGATCATGTGGTGTAGAATTTTTCCCCTTGGCTAACAGGAGGTATTACCCTGATACCTGAGTAGAGCAGCAAAGCAGTTCTTGTTCTTCTGTGTCCCAGACCAGAATTAGTTATTTTGCGTACTATGAAAAAGCTGTGTTTCCCGGGCAGCTGCCAAAGGTGGCGGAGGTGCAGGTCCTGGTGCTCGATGGTCGAGGCCATCTCCTGGGCTGCCTAGCGGCTATCGTGGCTAAGCAGGTACTGCTGGGCCAGAAGATGGTGGTCGTGCACTGGAGGGCATCAACATTTCTGGCAATTTCTATAGAAACAAGTTGAAGTACCTACCTTTCCTCTGCAAGAGGATGAACACCAACCCTTCCCTAGGCCCCTACCACTTTCAAGCCCCCACCACTTCCAGGCCCCCAGCCACATCTTCTGGTGGACCGTGGCAGGCATGCTTTCCCACCAGATCAAGCAAGGCCAGGCTGCCCTGGACCGCCTCAAGGTGTTTGACCACATCCCACCGCCCTGCAACAAGAAAAAGTGGTTGGTGGTTCCCGCAGCCCTCAAGGTCGTGCATCTGAAGCCTACAAGAAAGTTTGCCTATCTGGGGCGCCTGGCTCACGAGGTTGGCTGGAAGTACCAGGCAGTGACAGCCACCCTGGAGGAGAAGAGGAAGGAGAAAGCCAAGATCTTTGGGTAGTACCCAAAGAAGAAACAGCTCATGAGGCTACGGAAACAGGCTGAGAAGAACGTGGAGAAGAAAACTGACAAATACACAGAAGTCTAGACCTACGGACTCCTGCTCTGAGCCCAAGAAAGACTGTTAATTCCTCAAAAACAAGAAAAAGAAAAAAGTGGTGTGTTAGCTCTTAGTAGTAAATATAATCTCCCATTTTTAGGAGCCATGGTCTAGACCCCATGATCTCTCTTTCAAACATTATTTCATGTAATCCACATTTCACTCCAATGAAGTAGGTTGTTACAAATGTCTTCTTTTTATAGATGAGAAAACAAACTTTTGTGAGAGTAAACACGTAGCCTTTAGGTGATAGAGTCCAGTGTCTAGACTTTCTAGACAAGGGGGTGTGGGGCTGGCTGGGGCTTTGATTACAAAGAACCTAAAAGAGGCAGATTGTGTCCTGTTATCATAGAATATTTTGACGTAAAATATAAACCTGGTATGGTGCAAACTACAAATTTCAGTTGGTTCCCACAGCTGGAAGCCTTACAATTTCTCCTTTAAAAGGAATCCATTGCTCGTTTCCCTGTTGTTCAGGGCCTTAGCCCCAAAAGTGGTGATGTCTAAATGCCATTATTAAAGGATCTGTGAAATAAAATATGGCATATTAATATGATATGAGATACTTTTCAGCCATTAAAAAGAATATCTATCTAGACATATGGAAAAAGTACCATGAAATCAGCAAATTGCAGAAGTACTGTTTCTTGGTTGGAAAGAAGTGTGTGCTTGAAATGCATATTTTTCTTTAAATTGTATTTATTTTAAAAATTTTAATGAGATATAGCTTATATGGAGTGATAGTTACAGATTTTTTTTTTTTTTTGAGGTGGAGTCTTGTTCTGTCACCCAGGCTGGAGTGCAGTCGTGTGATCTTGGCTCACTGCAGCATCTGCCTCCCAGGTTCAAGTGATCCTCCCACCTCAGCCTCCCGAGTAGCTGGGACCACAGACGTGCACCACTAAGCCCGACTAATTTTTTTGTATATTTTGTAGAGATGGGGTTTCACCATGTTAGCGAGGCTGTTCTCTAACTCCTGACCTCAAGTGAGGTCACTTGGCCTCCCAAAGTGCTGGGATTACAGGCATGAGCTACCGCCCCCAGCAATATTTACAGATCTTAAATATACAGTGGAGCTCACATCTAGAATAATGTACCCCAAACTTTTAAGAATATTTACCTCTAGGGAATGAAATTAGCATAAGATCTTTCACTTTTTGCTTTGTTTGAATTTTTTGTAATAATCATGTTTTATATAAATATGCATATCTGTGTGAATATGTGTGTATGTATGCATATATATTTTTTGTTTGTTTTAAAGAAAAGATTAGATGCACTCATTTATACTCATGTTCAACTTGAGAAGCTTCCCAGGGATCTCAGAGATCCATCCCATCTTCTATCCTGAAATCTTCCATCCTGAATAGGAGAATTTCTCTGGGAAATTTTACTTTAACAGCTGAAGATTTGGGGAGCCAGAAGTGACTGAGAGATGCCAAGGCCACTGTCCTACTGTCCTGTTATTTCTTTTTTTTTTTTTTTTTTTTGAGACGGAGTTTCGTTCTCGTTACCCAGGCTGGAGTGCAGTGGCGCGATCTCGGCTCACTGCAACCTCCGCCTCCTGGGTTCAGGCAATTCTCCTGCCTCAGCCTCCCGAGTAGCTGGGATTACAGGCATGCGCCACCATGCCCAGGTAATTTTTTGTATTTTTAGTAGAGACGGGGTTTCACCATGTTGACCAGGATGGTCTCGATCTCTTGACCTCGTGATCCACCCGCCTCGGCCTCCCAAAGTGCTGGAATTACAGGCTTGAGCCACCGCGCCCGGCCCTGTCCTGTTATTTCTTACCAGACTGTGCATCCTGGTAAGAAATGTTGGGATGTTGGACCGAGCATCCTGTTTTAGGCCCCCACCCTCCTTATCAATCCCCAGCAATTCCTTGTCAGGAAAAATAATAAGTGTCCCTGAGGTTCTCTCCAAGTCTCTGGGCACCAGAAACGCCTCTTTATTTATTTTAGTATATTCGTGAATGAGTGTATATTAAGCATTCTCAGTTTTCAAGATAACAAGCTCAAAAGGACAAAAATAACCTGTATTTATTTTTGTTGCCCATAATGTATAGTGAGGCATCTCAGCTGTCATAGGTAGATAATTATGAATTCACAATTTATATAATTAGGTGGGACACAGTGGCTCACGCCTATAATCCCAGCACTTTGGGAGGCTGAGGCGACAGGATTTCTTGATGCCGAGTGTTCAAGGCCAGCCTGGGCAACACAGTGAGAATGAGACCCTATCTCTCAAAAGTAGCTGGATGTTGTGGTGTGTGCCTGTAGTTCCAGCTATTTGAGAGGCTGAGGCAAGAGGATTGCTTGAGCCCAGGAATTGAAGGCTGCAGGGAGTTATGATCACGCTACTACACTCCGGCGTGGGTGACAGAATGAGACCCTGTCTCTAAAAAAAAAAAAAAAAAAACAAAAACAATTTACACAATTGAATACTGAATTTCTTGGACAGTGTCACTTTCCTAATCCCCAACCCCTTCTGTCAACACTGCTGTGCACCTTCCCTTATTTCAGAGTCAGTTACTTCATCTGCACTTGTTTACCCATAAAAACTGCATTGGTATTGAGGGGTGCGTGGGATGGATATTAGAGAGAGGCTAAAGGAGGGTGTGTTTTCTCATCAGTGGTTTCATTATCACCAGAACCCTCAGCCTGTGGTAGATAAAGCTGGGAGGGAGTGTGTTAGCATTCCAGGCTCAGGGTGGGGTAGGTAGTGCTGGTGAAGTGGGAGTGCTGGTGAAGAGGGCTCTGGCTGTTCCCTTTGATTTGAGACTGGAGGCATCGCCTCAGGGCTCCCCACGCCAAAGTCTTAGGACTCCAGTGATCACCTTTGGGTCCTTCTGCTGCCTCCCTTTAACCTTTTCAGCTTTCACTGGTTTAAATCATATCCTAGGCCAGACAGCAGAAACTGTGCCTCCTTTCAGTGGGTGTGCTCGTAATAGGAACACTGACAGAGGAACAAAGCTGTTAGATCCCGTAGTTTCTGACTTCTGTCCACCCATATTTCTCCTTTTTTTTGAGACAGAGTCTTGCTCTGTCACCCAGGCTGGAGTACAGTGTCATGATCTCAGCTCACTGCAGCCTCTGCCTCCTGGGTTCACACGATTCTCCTGCCTCAGCCTCCCAAGTAGCTGGGACTACAGGCACACACCGTCGTCCAGCTAATTTTAGTATTTTTTGGTAGAGATGGGGTTTTGCCATGTTGGCCAGGCTGGTCTTGAACTCCTGACCTCAAGCAATCTGCCCACCTCAGTCTCCATATTTCTTCTTAATTACGTAATAAAAAGACTAATTCTGAGGTATTCTCATATAAGAAAGCAGCACATCTTAAGCAAAGAGAGCCTTCCCTTTCCAAGGGAAAAGAAGGAATTTTTATTGCCAACTTTGTGTTACATACTGTGTCTCCAGCGTTATCGCCCCTAACCCTTGCAGCAACCCTGTGGGACTGGTGTTGTCATCACCTCTGTTTCACTGCTGAAATCACGGGAAGCCTTCGAGAGGAGGCTGAGCCAGAGCTGTCTGGCTCTAGCGCCTGTGCCATTTCACTCACATTGGCTTGCAACTTGGCCCTGACTACTGATGATAAGCTCAGGAGATAATATCTGTAAAGTACCTAGCTTGGTGCCTGGCACATACTTAGAAAATCTTTCTCCCAACAGCCTCACCCATCCTCAGCACCTCCCACTCTCCTGTTAGAAGCATAGCCTCCACCAATAATTTCTTCTCCAACTATTTTTAACAGGACCTCGGACAGTGGTCCACCCTAAAGCACGAATTATTGCGGAAGCTGGGCCAATAGTGATTGGCGAAGGGAACCTGATAGAAGAACAGGCCCTTATCATAAATGCGTGAGTAAGACTCTTACACATACTGTGAACCAAGTACCATGGGTAATGTTTTTTGTTAATTTCAGCCGTCTGTAAGAACCTTTTCAACTGATATCCAGAAGGCCTACTATTTTAGAGCTAGAGAAACATTAAGGGTCTCTTTTGTAAGTAAATGACCAAACTGAAAACCAGATGGGGGAAAAGACTTGTCCAAGATGAGAGAACTGAGTAGCTGCCTGGATTTCTGATGCTGGGTCTGATCATCTTCCCCTTACATGTGGCTTTCTCACCCATTCCTCAAGCAAACATTTCCCGAGCACTTCCACCTCCAAGTGCTGCGCTCACCACCCTGCAGAGAGGTATTTTTGGGGATTGGTTCTGACCAAAATTTTATTACTCATGCCTTAAACACATGAATTTAACTCTAATATATATCTTCAAATGTTTTGCACAGGTGACACCCAGAATTATAATTGAAAAATGTGGAGTCCTAGAGGCAATTTTTAAACTGTAAAGATTAAAAAATAAGAAAATACTAGAACATGTACATGATCATAGTGAACTAGACTATAATACCTATGAATTTTTCATAAACATTTATAAGTTCTTTCTAGATAAAATTTTGGCAAGAAATTCAAGCTTATACCTAATTTATAGCAACCGCATATGGAATTTGTAAGAAAGACCTTGGGAAAATATTTAACTGTCAGAAAAAGACTGATTTAATGCTTACTTAGGATTTAAAATACATTTGGCACCTTCAGTGTAAGTCAATTAACAGCAGCTATATTCTGCAGTAACTCAACTGTCAGAGATAAATCACCATTTAAAAATGGCTTTCTTCTCTTAGAACACAAACATTTTATCTTCCAAATATTTCAGCTAACTAAGAGCAAATAATTATTTTATGTGACTATCTGTTTATGTTTCACAATCTCAAATGATTATTAAGGATGGAAAATTTTCAAGTTAGGCATGATTTTTATTCTAATTAACAGCCTAAAAATATAGCTAGCATCTTTTTTCCTTTGTCCTGAAGAAGACCTCTGGACTTTGAATTTAAAAAATACACTAAGGTAGGCTGTTCTTCTCTACATACCATGACTTCTTCACTTTTCAGTAGCTCTCTTCAATTCAAAATCAAGCCTTCTCTAGCATACAGGATGAATGAATCACTTGAATTAAGAAATAATTTACATAGGCCGGGCACAGTGGCTCATGCCTGTAATTCCAGCACTTTGGAAGGCCCTGGTGGGTGGATCACCTGAGGTCAGGAGTTAGAGACCAGCCTGGGCAACATGGGGAAACCCCATCTCTACAAAAATACAAAAATTAGCCAGGCTTGTTAGCACACACCTGTAGTCCCAGCTACTCAGGAAGCTAAGGCAGGAAAATTGCTTGAACTTGGGAGACAGAGTTTGCAGTAAGCCAAGATGATGCTACTGCACCAGCCTGGGTGATAGAGTGAGATTAAAGAAAGAAGTAATTTACATATCTTTGAGGCTCGATGTAGGTAAACTTGAAAGCATTAACCCAAATTTGAAATGGGAAGAAAATTGCTTATTGTGTGATTGCCTCTTTGGATGATTTATCTCTTCTTTTGACAGTTACCCGGATAATATCACTCCTGACACTGAAGATCCAGAACCAAAACCTATGATCATTGGCACCAATAATGTGTTTGAAGTTGGCTGTTGTATCCTTTCCAATAATCTACCATAAATAATTCCTGGCTATCCTTTAGTACCTAAGTCTTCTCCTGTAGAAATTGTCAAATTGTCATAATTTGTCTATCAAATATACTTACATTCATATTATATATTATAATTACATTTTTAAAAGTAAGTCAGCCAGGCCAGGTGCAGTGGCTCATGCCTGTAATCTCAGCACATTGGAAGTCTGAAGCAGACTTCACTTGAGGGCAGAAGTTCAAGACCAGCCTGGCCAACATGGTGAAATTCCGTCTCTACTAAAAAAAAAAATTACAAAAAATTAGCCGGGCATGGTGGCATACGTCTGTAATTCCAGCTACTCGAGAGGCTGAGGCAAGAGGATCACTTGAACTTGGGAGGCAGAGGCTGCAGTAAGCCAAAATTGTGCCACTGCATTCCAACCTGGGTGACAGAGTGAGACTCCATCTAAAAATACATAAATAAATAAAAATATAAATAAATAAAAGTTGACCATCCAGCTCTTTGAACAGACTTATTGACAGTAGATATTTTTAAAATGGTCCTTTCTGTTCCTGTAAATAACTCATAAAGTATGCTGTTTTAGACAAACGCAGACACGTATCTTTAGCTCAGCATTTTTAAAGTAACCACTTTTGCTGGTTCTACAGCTTGTTGACAGGTATCAATTGCTGAGTGACAGCAATGCTGACTTCTTTCTTGATTCAAGAGCCCTAGCTTTGTCAGCGTGGTTCCTGTATAGTTTTAGGTTAGATAATACATTGTGTGATTCAAGAAAATGGTGTGTAAGGGTGAAAATATTCCATTATTTGTTTGTTGTCTTTTCCCCACCTGAATGTCTCCAGTTCTTTTGTTTGGTTTAGTACTCTAAAAAGATAGTAAAATTTTATGGTGTCCGCAAAACATATAATGTATAGTAGAAAATATTTAGAAGGAAAAATCTAAATGGTTAGCAATAGCAAGATATTTAAATGAATTGAGCTACAATCATAAAACCACTAGGACCATTAAGCAGTCATTTTAAATTATATTTTTAAAGATTTTACTTTATCTTTTTTGAGACAGGGTCTTGCTCTGTTACCCAGGCTGCCTGCCATGCAGTGGTACAATCATAGCTTACTGCAGCCTCATCTCCCAGACTCAAGCAGTCCTCCCATCTCAGCCTCCCAAGTAGCTGGGATTATAGGTGCATACCACCATGCCCAGCTAGTTTTATTTTTGGTAGAGATGGTGTCTCACTGTGTTGCCCAGGCTGGTCTTGAATCCCTAGGCTCAAGTGGTCCTCTCACCTTGGCCTCCCAGAGTGCTGGGATTACAGCTGTGTGCCACCCTGCCTGGTCTAAAGATTTTAATAGCATGGAATAATGCTTGAAAATTTAAGTGAACTGAATAATCTATAAAAGTTTATACAGTTTGATTCCCACTTACGTACAGGAAATTCTGTATGTTTATATAAAGATATATCAAACTTTTAACAGTGTTTAAGTGACTGGGTGATGGATAGTTTTAATTATCATGAAATAATTGTGAAAACATTTTACTCATTAAATCAGGGTATAAGGTACTCGTTTCTTTAAAAAAAAATAAGTCATGGCCGGGCGCGGTGGCTCAAGCCTGTAATCCCAGCACTTTGGGAGGTCGAGGTGGGTGGATCACGAGGTCAAGAGATCGAGACCATCCTGGTCAACATGGTGAAACCCCGTCTCTACTAAAAATACAAAAAATTAGCTGGGCATGGTGGCGCGTGCCTGTAATCCCAGCTACTCAGGAGGCTGAGGCAGGAGAATTGCCTGAACCCAGGAGGCGGAGGTTGCGGTGAGCCGAGATCGCACCATTGCACTCCAGCCTGGGTAACATGAGTGAAACTCCGTCTCAAAAAAAAAAAAAAAAAAGTCATTTATTTATACCTAGAGATATTTGTTTAAAGATTAAACCCTTACCACAGATTGCCCAGAGCAAAGAGTTCTGGCAAGGGTGAGCCTACATGGCCCATCTGACACCCCTGTCCTCTGTCCCAGTGCAGTATAAGGACATACTATATTAGTAGGGACTAAAGATGAACATATTTATAGTATTTCCCTAACTCTGGCTTTACAGATTCCCAAGCCATGAAGATGGGAGATAATAATGTCATTGAATCAAAAGGTAAGCTATGTTCAGAGTTCTATTGTCAAAGCAGTGACCTCTTTTCTCTCTGTGGTGTCCTGGGAAACAACCTAATACAAACTGTGGCAAGGTGCTGTGCTTGGAAGTGGCCTGCAATTGCAGGCAAACTGATTCTTTGCCACTAAGGAACCTAATCTGGCTATGTGGTTATCTGGTAACGTGGGTTAAATACATTACATTTAAAATCAGCTGTGTACATTTAAGGATTGAATTAAACCATAAAGTTTAAATGAAAGATTTGGAAAAGATTTCTGCTAAATACTAGTCTCTGGAATTTTAGTTGGTTAGAGTTGTTGTAGAATTAAAGGGGAAAAAAAATTACAGTTTCTCTAGCAGTTGCTTTCTTTAGTTTCAGGAATACTTTGCCCTAGCCAATCAGAAACAAGTATCATGTGCTCGTGAGTGGGACCAGACAGGAGATTACATAAAGTTACTGTTACTACTGGGAAGCCACTTCAGGAGCTTGTCCCACTAAGGTCCAGAAAGAATCTGAATGATGACACTTCTTTAGAATAGTGGGTTATCTTTCTTGATCCTGAGTGGCATGAAAGAATGCTTCTTTTTTAAATAATAAAATTATACTTTTTGTTAATCTACTTAATGGCTTTTATTTTAATTTGGATCATCAGTTATTATCCCTTCTATCATCATTGGCATTTTTAATTGTATGCTTACCGTGTATCAAACCTGTGGTCAGCACTTTACATCTGTTATCTCATTATTCCTTCAACTGTGAAGTAGAATGGCCTCTTCGTTTTACAGATAAACTTGAGCTTAGAGACTTTGCTGTGACTTTCCCCAGGTCACACAGATGGTAGCAGAGCTCCATTTTGAATACGTCTGACCCTGGCATGTACTGCCTGCCTCTGTGTTGTCCAAACAAACTCCAAACAGAAGTATTTTCTTTAACTTTTGTCTTAAGGCCAGTTTACGCTTTTATACCTAAATCATCTTAGAAAAGAAAAGTGTTGTTATCATTTGATGTCTTAAGTTGCAATTCTTTCTGCGTTTTTATTGCAGCATATGTAGGGAGAAATGTAATACTGACAAGTGGCTGCATCATTGGGGCTTGTTGCAACCTAAATACTTTTGAAGTCATCCCTGAGAATACAGTGATCTATGGTGCAGACTGCCTTCGTCGGGTGCAGACTGAGCGACCACAGGTACTAGAACCTCTCTTTAGAAAGAGTTCTTTCTGCTGATTTTCCCAAAATGGAATGTAATTGTCTTCATGAGGCAGCAGGTACGCTATTTAAGAAGAATGTAATTAAAATAAAACAAAGAGGCCAGGCTCAGTGACTCATGCCTACAATCCTAGTACTTTGGGAGGCCGAGGCAAGAGGATGACTTGAGGCCAGGAATTTAAGACCAGCCTGGGCGACATAGTGAGACTCTCTACAAAAACTAGAAAAACTTAGCCAGGTGTAGTGGAGCACGACTATAGTCCCAGCTACTGAGGAGGCTGAGCTGGGAAAATAACACTTGAGTGTGAGGTTCCTGTGAGCCATGATCCTGCCACTGTACTCCAGCCTAAGCAACAGAGACCCCAACGCAAAAAAATAAATACATGAAAATAAAACAGTGAGAAACATCCTGAAAAACCGGGATTTACTTGCAGTTCAATCCCTAAAACAGAATTTAATTGCAGTTCACTTATTCAGTCTTTAAGTTAACATCAAAAATATATAAAAGGATGTTGATGACAAGTCAGCTATGAGAAAAGGTCCAGAAATGTTACTGTTGATCTTGTGTGTTTTCACTGACAATGCATCAACAAACTGTACAAGCCATACTGATTTACTCCTAAAATATCAGTCTTCAAGGGTAAGGAATGACCATACTACATTTATGCTGTGCCTCTGACTGGAGTGTGTCTATTTAGTTTATTGTCATAGCTTCATAATAAACACAGCTTGTGGCCGGGCGCAGTGACTCAAGCCTGTAATCCCAGCACTTTGGGAGGCCGAGGCGGGAGGATCACGAGGCCAAGAGATCGAGACCATCCTGGTCAACATGGTGAAACCCCGTCTCTACTAAAAATACAAAAAATTAGCTGGGCATAGTGGTGCGTGCCTGTAATCCCAGCTACTCAGGAGGCTGAGGCAGGAGAATTGCCTGAACCCGGGAGGCGGAGGTTGCGGTGAGCCGAGATCGTGCCGTTGCACTCCAGCCTGGGTAACATGAGTGAAACTCCGTCTCAAAAAAAAAATAATAAAATAAACACAGCTTGTGAATAAGCAAGTGTGTTTGGATATCTTTCTGGCTTGAGAAATTAACTCCTCCTAAAAACCCAGATCAAGAATAATGCAGAATACATATTTGGAGTTTAATATTAGAGTAGGAGATGAAAAAAATAGGACATTTGGGCTTCTTTTGGATATAAGACATTTGTATTGCAGTTTCCAGCCTCGTTGCTGGGCACATTCAATATATATTCCTTTAGTTACCTAGTCTCCTTTTCCTTCCACTAAATAGTTTCAAGCACTGTGGGAAGCCAAGGCGGGATCACTTGAGCCCAGAAGGGAGTTCAAGACCAGCCTGGGAAACATGGTGAGACTCCATCTCTACAAAGAATAAAAAATAATGAGCTGGGCATGGTGACATTCACCTGTAGTCCCAGCTACTTGAGAGGCTGAGGTGGGAGGATCGCTTGAGCCCAGGAGGTTAGGGCTGCAGTAAGCTCTGTTTGTATAACTGCACTCCAGCCTGGGTGACAGAATGAGACTCTGTCTCAAAAAAAGAAAAAAAAAAAAAAGCATAGTTTCAAGACATTTATAACTTTGCCTCTGATTCTTAGCCATATTTTATCAGAAATCAACACTCCAGTTATTTCTGGGTTACTCTACTTCTGTAATGCTTGGCTTCATTATTATTATTATAAGCAAGTATTACTCTATAGACTGAAAAGGAAATAAGGATAAATCCAGTCATTTTTTACCGTCTTTCTACATAACAGCAAAAATGACTGAAGACTGGGAAACGAAGTTGGTGTGGGGAAGGGAGTTTAGAATTAAGTGAGCAAGAATATCTGAAATTTAATATTTCGTAGTATATAATATTGTCTTCCAAATTTCACTGATCATAAGGATTATATAGAGGTCTTTATTAAAAATAAAGATTTCCTAGACTTATTGAGTCACTGTGCTAGGGCAGGAGCCTAAAAATCCATATTTTTCACAAGTACTGTGGTAAGCTTTACAATCAGGAAAATTTGGGCAATACTGGTATATGAAGAATAAAGATTAGACAGGTGTATCCAAGTACACCGCAGCTGTGTGGCTCTGTAGGTCATGTGGAAAACAAAATACTCTAGGTGTTTTACTTATGTGGTCTTCTGTAATTGGAACTTTTAACTTTTCAGAAGCCAGGATGAAATCTACAAAAGCGAGTTTGAAAACTGATTTCTGTATATTTTTATATAAATATATAAAGTCTGTTGGCTTTTTCTTATAACCAAATTTAGTATGTGTTCATTGTAAATTTAAAAAAAAGCAAGCAGCTAAGCAAAAATGAGTCAGTGAAAGTCACCTGTAATTCCACAACTTATTAATAACCATTGCTACCTGGAACTTTTTTCTTTTTTTGGAGACAGAGTCTGGCTCTGTCACCCAAGCTGGAGTGGAGTGGTGCAATCATGGCTTACTGCAGCCTCAACCTCCTGGGCTCTAACAATCCACCCCCAACTCCCGCCACCCCATTTCCACCTCAGCCTCCTGAGTAGCTATGACTACAGGGACATGCCACCACACACAGCTAATTTTTAAATTTTTTATAGTGATGGGATCTCCCTCTGTTGCTCAGGCGGGTCTGGAGCTCCTGGGCTCAAATCATCCTCCTGTCTGGGCCTCCCAGTGTTGAGATTATAGGCATGAGCCAGCACGCCTGGTCCCTGCGTGGTACTCTTGACTTTGCTTTCTGCCAGTCAGTCTTAATTATCTTATCTTTTTAGCCCCAGACACTACAGCTGGATTTCTTGATGAAAATCTTGCCAAATTACCATCACCTAAAGAAGACTATGAAAGGAAGCTCAACTCCAGTAAAGAACTAAGAACAGTAGATGACATGAAGATAACATTTTTGTCTTTGACCACTGTCTTTTGAATGGGCCACAGTGTTTATGTACTCTTAGCAACTCACAGGATAATACATGTTGACTTTATTTTGTAAAATTGGGTTGAGAGGAAAGTAATGGATTTTCATTGTAACTGTCCTTTATAATTTATATAAAATGTATTATTTTCCTATATCCTTGCTTCTTTTCTGATAATTTACAGATTTAGCTTTTCTTTTGTTATGTAAACTGCTGGCCACAAATTTTAGTTATGTAAAAGACTACCCATGACAAGAAAGGACATATTGTTATGTATTTATATTCTAGCATAGACTAAACTGAATAAAAATGCTGATAACAGTCTTTAATGATCATACTTTAATCAGTTTTTCTACTTGAATTAATCTTTTCTCTTAATTTTTTTTATGTACTAGTTGTATTAAAGCTAATGTGTTTAACTTTTCCTCTTGTGGATTTGTAGCTGTTTAAAATTTCAGGTGAAATTTTAGTAGCTATTGAATTAATTTAGACTTCACTTTGTTTTTAAGAAAAACACAGTTTTTTCTTTTTGGTAAAACAAAAATAATCAGGGAAAGATGTCCTCAGTAGAATACAAATTAGTGGCATTCTTGGGCTTCTGAGGACAATGAAACTAAAAGAGATTTTGAAATTTATATAAATTCATTAAATTATTAATATTTTAGCATAGCACTAATCACTAATCATTGAACTTTATTATTCTGTTTATCTAATTATATAGTGATCAAAATGTTGAGAATTTTATAATTCCAAATTTTTTAAATAATTGAAGCATATACATTTACTGGAACATACTTCTCAGCTTTTGAATTAGTAGATATTGACTAATACTAAGTTACTAAAACACTAAGATATTTTCTCAAAATTTAATTTTAATTTATTTATTTTAGAGACAAGGATGTCACCCTGTAACCCAGACTGAAGTGCAGTGGCACAATCTTGGCTCACATGGATCACTTGTCCTCAAGCTCAAGTGATCCTCCCACCTCAACCTCTTAAGTAGCTCGGACTACAGGCATAAACCACCATGCCTGGTTTATGCTGGCCAAAGTGACCTCTGGTCGTCCTCACTGCTCCTTATACACTAATTATAATGCATTAGCATGCTAAAATACACTCCTACCAGTGCCATGACAGTTTATAGATGCCATGTCAACATCAGAAAATTACCTCCTATGGTTTAAAAAGAGGAGGAACCTTCAGTTTTAAGAATTGTCCACCCCTATGCCAGAAAACTTATGAATAATCCACCCTTGTTTAGCACATAATCAAGAAATCCCATGCTGCTGCTCTGCCTATGGAGTAGCCATTCTTTTTTTTTTTTTTGATATGGAGTCAGTCTGTTGCTCAGGCTGGAGTGCAGTGGCAAGATCTCAGCTCCCTGCAACCTCTGCACTCTGGGTTCAAGCGATTCTCCTGCCTCAGCCTCTCGAGATTACAGGCACCTGCCACCGCACCCGGCTCATTTTTGTGTTTTTAGTAGAGATGGGGTTTCACCATTTTGGCTAGGCTGGTCTTGAACTCCTGACCTTGTGATCCACCTGCCTCAGCCTCCCAAAGTCCTTTACTTTCTTAATAAACTTGCTTTCACTTTCCTCTATAGACTCACCCTGAATTCTTTCTTGTGCGAGATCCAAGAAGCCTCTCTTGGGGCCTGGATTGGGATCCCTTTCCAGTAACACATGTACTAAATGTGTGTGCCTTTTCTCCTCTTAATCTCTTGTCAGTTCATTTCATAGACTCAGATTAATTGAAACTTCAGAGGGCTGAGGGAAAGTACGCTTCACCCCTACAAGGCAAAACAATAGGGAAATTTAAAAAGAGTTCTTTGATCTTCCCATTGAATTCAATAAGAATTACCCAAAGGGTTACCCAATGCTGGGGCTCCACTTCATTTATACAAAACTTTAAATTGGGTCTGCTTGGTTTTTTGTTTGTTTGTTTTTTGAGACGGAGTTTCGCTCTTGTTACCCACGCTGGAGTGCAGTGGCACGATCTCGGCTCACCGCAACCTCTGCCTCCTGGGTTCAAGCAGTTCTGCCTCAGCTTCCCGAGTAGCTGGGACTACAGGCACGTGCCATCATGCTCAGCTAATTTTTGTATTTTTAGTAGAGATGGGGTTTTACCATGTTGACCAGGATGGTCTCGATCTCTTGACCTCGTGATCCACCCGCCTCGGCCTCCCAAAGTGCTGGGATTATAGGCGTGAGCCACCGCACCTGGCCAATTTTTTTTTTTTTTTTTTTTCAAAGAGACAAGGTCTTGCTCTCTTGCCCAGGCTGGAGTGCAAGTGGCACGATCATAGCTCACTGCAATCTCAAACACCTGGACTCATGCAATCCTCCTGCCTTAGCCTCCTAAGACATTAGGACTACAGGCCTGTGCCATCATGCCCAGCTGAATCTTCTATATTTTTGTAGAGGAGAGGGTCTTGCTATATGGCCCAGGCTGGTCTTGAATGCGTGGCCTCATGCAGTCCTCTTGTCTCAGCTTCCCAAAGTGCTGGGATTACAGGTATGAGCCATTGTGCCCAGTCGGGGTCTGCTTGTTGCAACTAATTAACTGTAGTGGTAATTTGCGGTGATGTTTTGGTCTGTATTTTTGTGTGTGTTATACTGGTAAAAGTAATATATTAAGGCCGGGTGTGGTGGCTCATGCCTGTAATCCCAGCACTTTGGCAGGCTAAGGTGGGCAGATCACCTGAGGTCGGGAGTTCGAGATCAGCCTGACCAACATGGAGAAACCCCATCTCTTAAAAAAATAATAATAATAATAATAATAATTTCATTTTACACAATTCAGGAGGTGAGGAGAAAACACTTCTGATTCCATGGGCCCATATCAAGCAACACCACTTTAATCATTTTGGGGCTAATTTATATGTACAATCCAAGGTGAATGAAGATCTCAGACACATGCATCTAAAGCTTCATAATCCCCATGTAGACTTGCTGTTTTAACACAAGAGGGCGCCAGTAGACAGCATAGTCCCCCAACAGTGTCTAGCAAATGGGTGCTCTTGGAGTTTTATTTTTATTTGAAAACGGGGCCTGGCCCTGTTGCCCAGGCTGGAGTGCAGGGGTGTGAACACCACTCACTGCAGCCTCAACCTCCTGGGCTTAAGCGATCCTCCTGCCTCAGCCTCCCAAGTAGCTACAGGCTTGTGCTAGCAAGCCCAGGTAAATTTTTAATTTTTTTGTGGAGTTGGAGTCTCCCTATATTGCCCAGGATGGTCTCAAACTCCTGGGCTCAAGTTGTCCGCCTGCCTGGGCCTCCCAAAGTGCTGGTATTACAGGCATGAGTCATCGCTCCTTCTGACCCATTTTAAGGATACTTTAGACTTTAATACTTTATTTTAAAAAACTAGGAGCAGTTTCTTTCCTGTCTACTTTAAAGGGTGTTGTATTTAAATATTTTAGAGCCTTTAGCTGGGACTAGGTTCATGATACTAAACACATGCAAATAGAGGATCAGGCTCAGAAGAGAAGCGTTGTCAGGCCCGCTAGAATCCCAGCCAAGAATGGATTGGCCAAGCCTTCGTTGTCAGCGTTCTTCTCACAGGGTTTCAGTACTGCTCACCTTCATGCAAGTTTGAGTGGTGCTAGGTCCCTGAATTTAGATTTTCTTTTGTTCTTTTCTAAATTTTTAGTGACAGGGACTCACCATGTTGACCAGGCTGGTCTTGAACTCCTGGGCTCAAGTAACCCTCCTGCCTCAGCCTCCCAATGTGCTGGGATTACAGGTGTGAGCCGCCGCACCCCGCCTAGATTTTCCATTTCTTAAACTACCTCAGCTTTCATTAGCTACCTGTATGGTTCAGATTTTTGAGCCAGACTTAATGCCTGATGCTCAGAGCCCAAATTTCCCCTACTAGGAAGTCGTCTGCTCTTTAGTGGGCTAATCACTGCTCTCCTTGAGTTGTACGTTTTCCTAAAAATCAGTTGTATTTGGCTGGGTGCAGTGGCTCATACCTGTAACCCCAGCACTTTGGGAGGGTGAGGTGGGTAGATCACTTGATGCCAGTCCATGACCAGCCTGGCCAATATGATAAAACCCTGTCTCTACTAAATATACAAAAGTTACTGGGGCATGGTGGTGGGCCCCTGTAATCCCAGCTACTCAGGAGGCTGAGGCAGGAAAATCACTCGAGCCCAGGAGGTGGAGGTTGCAGTGAGCCGAGATTGCACAGCTGCACTCCCACCTGGGCAACAGAGCAAGACTCCATCTCAAAAAAACAAAAAAAAAAATTAGTTGTATTTGTTCCAAAACTTGTTTATGGAAGTTGTACTTAATATCTATGTAATTTAAATCAGTATTACCAAAATCAAACAATTATGAGTGTGAAGAGAGTAATTTCTATGAAAATAAGTTGAAAACTTGGCAAAGACCTGATAAAGACGTGTTATTAAAGAAAAAAATGAGGCCGGGCGCGGTGGCTCAAGCCTGTAATCCCAGCACTTTGGGAGGCCGAGGCGGGTGGATCACGAGGTCAAGAGATCGAGACCATCCTGGTCAACATGGTGAAACCCCGTCTCTACTAAAAATACAAAACATTAGCTGGGCACGGTGGTGCGTGCCTGTAATCCCAGCT